TTATTCATTTTCAACAACAGCTTTCATGTACTAAGATCATCATCATGTTGTTCTACATACTTGGTCAGATTGCTTGATATTTTGTTTAATAAATTCATATGTCTGGCTAGCTGTGTCAAATATTGATCTTAAGAAATCTCCAATAAAAGGTAAAATGGCACGCTTACTTCTACTTTTAATTGGAATTTTTCTTTTCCTGCAACAATATATCAATAGTAGCTATTGTACCATTTATCATAACTTTCGTTTTTTATTAATCTCAACTAACATTTCATTTACTAAAGCACAAAACTTTTTGTTTCTATTACAACAAAAATACTGAACAAATTCTAGAATACAAGGAAATGAAAAGAATCACTAAAGGCACAAACAAAGTGATCAGTTTTATCTGCCTAACCTTTGAACTAAATATTAGAAGTAAAAAGAGAGAAAAGACCATTTATTCAATTCACACATTCAACACAGACCTGAACTATATTCAAGAAAAAGAATTTAAATACCATAGGCCAAGTATATTAGTCAACAACCTGGAGAACTTGAAATACTATATGAGTCTTTGAACATAACAACTCATTTATAGGGGTTGAACCTAAGTAATACTTATGTATTGAAATATCTGTACTGTCTTTTTCTTTTCTTTCAACTTTTAGTGTATCGAACAAACGTTTCAGTACTAACATTTACATCTATTTGCCAAGTAGGCTTATACTTTTTATTGCTCCATTCAATAAGGTATTCTTTCATACCATTTCTTATTATTAGTTTCAAAATTATGTTTGCCTTGTACCATACCCCATCATTATTGTTTGAAGTAGTTAGTGTAGGGGATTTTTCGCTTTGAATATCTAATTGTTTCGGCCACTTACCTGACTTCTTTTGGGTCTGTCTTTGGTCATCTTGATTAGTTTCAATGTCATAATTATTTGTTTCATTACCTTGGTCGGAGGAAGGTAGTCTTGTACTGGTGTTTTTCTCTAGGAACGATGGTTAGGAAACAACCCGCCTATATGACTGAAATGCTGTTTGGAAAAGGCGTAAAATGAAACAAACAAACATGACCTTGGTCCGGGTTATTCAACTGATCATTATGGTCAATTGAACTGGATTGTGCATCATTTATGTGCTCATCATCACTTTGAAACTTCACAAATATCTGGATCATTGTACCTTTTTAAGTCCTTTGCATTTACCGGTGCTTTATGAAGTTGATGTGTATTACTTTCTGCAATTCTGTATGTATCTGGAGATATTTTCTGTTTTATGTATTAAGGACCTTTCTATTTATACTCTAGTTTAGATGTAAGACCTTGAGTATGTTAGTTAATTTTCTATAATACTTGCTCTAAAAGTCTAAAATCAGAGGGTTGCGCTTTTTAATCATGCCTTAGCTTTCATTTAAAGTTTCAGTGTTTTGTTTTGCAATATTATGAATTACCTTAAGTCTTTGCAATAGGAATTGTGTATGTTGCTTAGCTTCTGTTCCTAATGTATCTCTTGGTATTAGATTTACGTCCATATGGCGTCTCATTTCACCTCCAAACATTATTTTATATAGGCTAAACCCTGAAGTTTTAATAATTGGTGATGATTTGCAATACTATTGGTAAAAGACATGTTCCAGATATTTTGATCTTTATCGATAAACATACGTAATGTCTGATTGTGGCATTTTGCCTTTCCCAATTTCCTTTTACCTTTGGATTATAACAAGCTGTGCGGTGTCTCGTGACATTGTAAGTTTCACATACTGCAGTTACGTGCCCCATAACAACAAAATATTTCATTATGTAACACCCTTGCTATTTCTGCAGCGGATTGGTTAGTTAATGCAAATGGCTCTATCCGCCATGCGAAACTGTCTACATAGACAAGTATATATTCAAATCAGATGTTTTGTTAAGTGGCCCGATGCTATCTAGGTGCATTCGTTCGTATACATTTACTACAGGTAAAGGATTGAGAGGAGTACTTACCTGATGTGTAGCATGTTTTGCTCTTTGACATATGTTACATAATTTTACAAAATCTAGTATTTCCTGGTACATATGTGGCCAATAATATTTATTTTGAATTTCAGTAAAAGTCTTTTTGACTCCAAAGTGACCATTGTGATCATGATATTCTTGCATGACCTTCACCCTAAGTTTCTTTGGAAGTGCAGTTTGTATTATGAACTTATCTTCTGTAGGTTTTTTCTTACCTCTATTTTGATACTTGTGTATGAGAACATCATCCACAATTTCATAAAACTCTTTGTCATACATTGTTTTTCTCATCAGCTTTTCATCTTTAGGTAATTCACCTTCACTCAAATATTTGTAAATATTAACAAAATCTGGGCAGTTTTTCTGCATCAATATCAACTTACCTGTGTCATCTGGTGATTCATCTTTTGTCTCTGTGTCAGTTTGTATCTGTAACACTGTAGAGGATCCAGTATATTCGAATGTTGTTTCTAAATATTTACTGTCCGAAATATTAGTATGTTTTAAAACTTTTCTTACCTCCTTTTCAGTATGCCTGTAGGTACTGACATCTACTCCTGATGGTTCATCAGTAACAGAACTGTCTTTTTCTGCATCATTTGATATAGTAACTAGTGAAATTTGTTGTTTATCAGATGTATCAGGAACAAGTCTAGATAAAGCATCTGCATTATTCAACTCACCTTTTCTGTAGTGTACTGTGTACTTAAAACCTTGTAAAAATAATGCCCATCTAGCTATTCTACCATTCTGAGAAGTTGTTATAGAGTTTAATACTTTTAGTGCTTGATGATCTGTTATGATTGTAAATGGAATGTCTGTTGACAAATAAGCTCTAAATGCCTTTACACCAGACACTATTGCTAAACATTCAATTTCTGATACTGTGTAATTTTTCTCAGCAGGCTACAAAGCACGACCACTATATTCAATGACCCGTGCCTTACATTGTCCTAAAATATAATCAAGTCCGGACATAGATGCGTCACAAGTTTATATGATCCAGACCATTTTTAATACATGAATATAAATATACGTGCTGACATAACGTTTAAAAAGTGTGCTGATTTATCATTCGCACGAAAAAATAGTACATTTATATATACTAACAAATTAAAAAAAATAAAGGAGAGGGCTGAGATGTTTAAACTTTTGACTAAGCCCTTTTGTTTATTTCATCTAAATGTATTTATGTGTAATCGTGTAATAATGTGAAATATGTACTATAAAATCACAGTGAAAAGATTTAACTGAACATGTTTATTAGCTTTATTATAACCTTTACCTTTGCAGTCATTATTTGTCTGAACTGATTGTCCGAAGGCAGACCAGGTCTCCACAGCCCAAACAGTTGATTGAAGTCAGGTCCTTCGGGTGTCTTGGAGCAAAAGCTGTAGTTGCTATGCTGTACTGAGGTCCTTCAATCGCGAAAATAATTCCCAAATGTTCTGCTGGCAGGAAAGGCAGGTAACCTTATATGCGGATTACATACCACGTCAGTGACCAAACCTACTGCCTGTTAATAATGAAAAAATGTTTATAACAATTATACATCATAACAATGTTTTCTTACAGTCATGTGTTTTGCGTTTTCTTTTAGTTTTGTAAATTTTTAGAAATGGACAAAAATGGAATTAAGGATAAAGGCTAGTAAATATTTTATGAACTAAGGTAGCTATTACTAAATAAAAATATTTTGTTCAAGCTTGTTTTAGAAAATAGAATCGCTTAAGGACGTACACACTTTGTTTTATTCATTTTTTTATAAATGCCAACTACTATCTAAATAACTACTTATATTGAGTAATTTTTGCATATTTATACAGTGTTTGGAGAAAAAATGCTTCAGTTTTTAATGAAATCAGTTGCTTTTCGTGATATATAACAATTAAGTTGTGATTTACTGGTAAATTCAAATCGACTCGAGAAACTGTCAATTTGTGCTATAAGAAATTAGTATGTTAGGGAAAGACTTTGCATTTCCGATCAAACACGAGTGCGAAGGTGAAATTGCGATGGCGCAATGGCACGATGGTGAAACACGATGTCACCATCGTACCATCATGCTGTCACCATCGTACTTTCATGTTTTCATCATCGTGTCATCGTACCATCGCGTTTTCAACATCGTACCATCTTATCATCGCGGGTAAGGAAGAAATAAAATCACTATAGTCCAAACAGGACATCGTAGATTTTCTTCCCCGTAGATTTTCGAGGCAAAAAAGCGAAAATACGACAGAATGAGGGCGAAAATATGACACATAAAATATGTCGTATATTCGCAATCCATCGGTGGTATTCTCGCTTTTTCGCATTCAAAATACAAAAACGCGGGATGTATGTATTTTTACTAGTTATACTAATAACTATATCAATAACTAATTGATCTAAAGAGCTGTCAGCAAGAGCACTGTTGATGTTGAAGACAGTGTCTACGATGTATAGACCTATACAAGGTAGAAGAGACACAGAAAAAGATGAGTGAATTGGTGGTTGTATGTACGTGAAGAACATTGGCAGTTCAAATAATAACAAAAATAACTTATGGACGGTAAAATATGCGCATGTTTACTTGTTTGTTTTTATTTATAGTTTTTATATAAAAATAAAGGATATCATCTTTAAACTTTTGTTTTCCGTTAGATCTTATTTCTTTGTTCATTTTTATATTCTTTCTTGATAAGTGTTCATATTTTTATGCAATAATAATAATAATAATAATAATAATAATAATTATAATAATAATGATAATAATAATAAAAATAATGATGATGATGATGATGATGATGATGATAATAATGGGATTGGGAAGTAAATTTTTGCGGGACGCTTGACCAATTTGGGGCGGTGTTGACTAATTCCAAGTTGCGCTGTGACATCACTCGTAAAATATGATATGAAATTTGTCTGAACGAAATTTTTACTCTTACGATTAAAGGCGCTGACAGAAGCGAGCAGTATAAAATTCGTTTAAAAACATCGGTTATTGTTATCACCGCTATACGCAGTACACACCAATATGGAGGCTGTTTACATGGGTTGTATAAAGGTGTTTAAAAGGGAATAAGTTGTTTTTGAGAAGGAAAATACACATTTGTGGTAGGAATATGAATACTAAGCATTATTTGTAATATTTTACTTGGGGAGTTTGAATGATTGTGCATGTTTATTGCTTTTTATTTTGCTATGGACTTTAAAATGGATATCTTTTGACGTTAAAGCGGATTTAACCAATGTAAAAAATAGCATCAAATACACGGTACACTATATTTAATCATGCACCTACAAAAAATTAGTCCTTTATTCTAATAATAATAGTAATAAAAATAATAGTAATAATAATAAATAATTTATTTAATGAAATATGATAAACAAGATCAACAAGGAAGTCAGCGTTGAAGGTAACGTATAATGAAATTCATATCTTATTAACAATATGACCTTCAATCGACAAGGTAAAGAAAATCACAAATATGTACACACATACCAAAAATATAGATGACAACCATTCAAATCGACAGACAAATGCATACATTAGATTCATTTTAATCGTATTCACTCGTTTAGTGTGTAACGGATTTTTTGTGAATCACGGACAGGCCGTTTAATAATTTTTGAATTAAAGTTATAACTCTATGTTATTTTTTCTACATTTCTACTTATTGTTAAGCTAAAGGTGTTCAATTTTAGTCGGTATATGCGTTCTTTTTACTACATTTGGTTATTTTTAGAAAAGTAACATTACGTCAGCGGAAGTATCAACAATCTAGTACCAGACGAAAACAGACAAAACATTCTTTACTTTTTTAAATATGATAACATCAGGTAAATATGTCATTTTTGGCTTGATTTTGTAGATTAAATATTTTCTGAAACCAACTGTAGGTTATCAGCGTCTAATGTTTAAGTGTTTTGACACAAAAAGGATGTGCTTTAGTCAATAATGGATCGTGTTTCAAAAACGGGGAGCGTCTCAAAATACACAAGTACTTACAACGTGACACCTCTGTGATATAATTATTATAATAAAATCCATTCTTACAATTTCTTTTAGTTTTATGTGTTTTTATTTTGAGTTTGGTAAAGGCTGCAATGAAATACACATTTTTAATACAATTGTATGATTACAGTACAGCAAAACCAGTGCCTATTCTAGGATTCAAAAAACAGGGGGATTTTTTTTATAGAAAAGTGATAATTTATTACCTTTGCTGATTTTTTTGTCTGTCCCTTAAAGATAGGTGGAAGGGGGGGGGGAGCTTCTCAAAAGTATGAGTGAATCCCCCAATTCCAACTCATAGAATGGACACTGACAACATAATGATTTCTTTAAATAAAAGTAGATGTAGAACACAGCATTTATGTCCCAGCCCAAAATCAACCAACTTTCAAAATTCGTTTTTTTATTGATAGCGCTTTATTATTCATATACATGTATTATGTTTGCTTTTCTCCTATTATTAAATATTGATTTATCCACTTTTCAGAACAATATGGAAAGGCCTCAAAGGCCAGTGGCAAAGCTAGGCCAGCAATCAGGAAAGCTAAAGCTAAGAAATAATACTCTTCTAGAAAGCCACAGCGAGCACTTCGGACACTTATTGCTACAGAAAAAGACGAGGTACCTATCAAAAAGGCTTCAGAAATGTTCAATCTTTCTTATAGTTACTTATATCGAAAATTGTCTGGGGAAGTTGATATTGATAAACGGAAGGGTACTGCCACAGTGTTCAGCAAAAAAGAAGAAGACAAAGCAAACAGGTTAAATGAAATGGCACAAAGAAGGATGGGGCTGAAACCATAACAATTAATAGATTTTATTCAGGATGTTGTAAGAAAGGGGAAAAGGTCAGCTCCGTTTAGAGTTGGGAGACCGGTTTATGATTGGTACTTTGGGTTGATGGACAGAAATAACATATTGTTCAAATGAGGATAAAACAGCTCTGGGAGGAAAAAGAGTAAGGTTACAAAAGAAAAAATGAACAAATGGTTTATTGAGTTTAGAGATTTTCTGGCTCTGGCTGGGAAAAACCCAAATTTCAGAAAGTTAAGGGCATACGAAACGGGTTCGCTATGGGAAATGTTCCCTGGAAAAAAGTTTTTGGGCCCATAAAAATAAAGGAAAGGAATTTGGTCTCTATGGAACCTCGGGGTGTACGAAATTTAAAAAACAAGATCCATTGATGTTTTGTGCTGCTAAAGGGAAAAGCTACCAAAATATTTGATCCGAGCCAAAGGGGCCGGGGGGGTTTATAACCCTTTTTGAATGGTTCGAAAAAAAGGAAACGGGCGTTTTTTTCCTACAAAGAGAGAGTGGTGGAATGGATTGGATGGAAAATGAAACGATTTTTAAGGGTTTTTTCTGAACAAATTTTGTTAAAACTGCAATCAAAAGGGAAAGAACCTTTTAGTGATTTTAATTGCTTTTTTTTAGCAGCCCATGTAAGCATGTTTCCATAATTTGAAAATGAACCCGTAAGCAGGAGGAATAGAACCCTGTAAACATTAATATCCCAAATACAACTCATTCTCAATGCAAAAGGGGCCCTTTCTTAAGACCAAAAAAGGCGCCACTGTTTTGGGCCCACAAATTTTGAAACAAAAGGCGATTAAAGTTAAAATAATTCTTATTCCCCCCAGTCCAAATTTATCGGGAAAGAAAACCGTTTTTTTAGAATTGAATGAAAGCTTTTCTTTTCTTCTACAAAATAATTTAATTTTTTCAAAGTCTTGGGGTATTATCCAGATACAGACTGTACTGTTTAAAAACATCAGACAAATTATAGCCTAGCATGGGGCGTCCGTGGCCAAGTGGTTTAGGTTAGGTCGTTGACTTCAAACCACTTGCCCCTTACAGCTGTGTGTTCGAATCCCGACAGGGACTTTGGATTTTTCATGTGAGGAAGCTATCCAGCTAGCTAACGGAACCTCGATGGTTCTAATCAGGTGCCCGTTCGTGCCTTAAATAATGCACGGAAGGGCACCTGAGGTTTTCCTCCACCAGTAAAGCTGGAACGTCGCTATATGACCTATAATGTGTCGATGTGACGTAAAACCCAACTAAACAAACAAAAAAATCCTAGCATATCATTTGAATCAGAAGAAGCATCAACATCAAAAAAACTTCTAGAGATTGAAGACTCATCTGAAGACAGTGGTGCAGTATGAGCACTTAAAGCATTTGAGCTTGCTCTCACTGCTCCTGTGAACGAAAGGTATAAAAAAAACTTTAAGAGGAGGGCTATGACATTCAAAGACAATCTCCAAGTTTTGGTGTGTACAAAAAATTATCAATGACAGCTAGAGGGAAATCCTTTGCTGACAAAAGTTAAAAGGCAACTAATTGTCAACACAGCAAGAGGGTGTCACTAGACTGGACATACTGATTGAGATTTATGTAATGCACCTGAATGAATGAAAGAAAAATAGGCAATTCATTAATAAAAGGAAGAAATCAAAACTGAGGTATTTGAATGAAAATAATGTTTCTAGTGTGAAATAGAAAAGGTTAAGACAAAGAATTCAAAGAAATTGAAGCAAGTTGAATCTGTCACTTACACTGTTAAAAACACCCCATCATGAAAATGCTCTGTGTATGCATTGCAAGATTTATTGGAAAGATGAACTGCTTTTAGACATTTCGCGTACATGGATGCTGTGTGATGGTTGCTAGCTGTGGATACATTCTGATTGCAGCTCGAGATTCCAATGAATATTACTGTCCACTGTGTGCGTAACGGTAATATCATTTTAACTGTAAATGCATTATAGATTTGACACTTTTTGTTACTAAATATTTTTTTGATTTGATAATGACATAACTTGAACATTTTTCTTATAGTTTTGTATTGACTACAACAATATGTATCAAATTATGCATCACAAAAACAAATGCAACTTAACATGTAAAATAACTTACCATTAAAAGAAGTTAAATTATATTGCATAATCTAAATTCAAATGATTTAATGAAATTAGTTTCTATATATTTATATTTCAGGTACATCCAAATAAGCAAAGAGTTTCACAAGATACTGCTAGTTCCTCTGATGAAAAGACAACTATAAAACTAATTTTAAAACTTAGAGATCAAAGGGTATCATGCTTTTAAGATCAAGCATCCAGTTACAGAGCCACATTGAAGACTCCTTGTGGACAGAGAGTATACCAACATCCAAGACAAAAATGCTTGTCTTTTTTTTTTGGATTCTTCATTTGTGTAACTTTAAAACTGAACTCCTTAATTAAGTTACTGGCTCGGGTTGTCTGATGTAGCTGGACTTGCCATTGATCGGGTGCCACGTTTCCTTGCAAGTTGTTTTATACCATTCTGGACAATAGTGGAGAAATGTATACAAATAGTACCGGTGAACCATGTCCTAGCTTTCCAATATGTCCCGAACAAAGTAAAGAACGGGGAGTTGCGATAAGATGTTAATATATTTCGAAAGCTACAGATAAATCAAACACTTTAGAGATGTTGAGTTCCACTCTCTGTTATGCCAGAGGTTAATTCCTATAAGATTATTGTTCCATGAGATTCTGTGTTCTTTGATGCTTTTAATGACTTTTTAATGACTATATCATTTATTTTCTTACAATTCATTTCAATGTCCATAGATATTTTTGTCTAATGAAGACTGTCAATTATTGAATAGTAAGTCAGTTTGGTGATATTGGTGGGCAGTTTGGGTTGTTAATTTTAATTGTTTTTGCAATTCTATTGGCACAGGAAGTGCATTTAAGTGAATTTACATTTTCTTGAGTCCAATTTTGTTATTTAATTATGAATGATTATCAATTATACTATTTAAATGCAAACCAGTATATTCTTCTATTTTGAAGAACATCAAATACTAGTATAATATGGTAGGCCAGTATTATCATCATTTCATGCTGTTACTTGATTTTTCTTTTTGGGAGTCTTTATGTATCTAGTTAAGAAATATTCAGAAATATTCTTGCTACTGAAATGTTTTATTGCATATTTTATAAACCTATCTTGTTTTTTCTTTGTTTTTTTTTTTTTATTATTTTGTTAAGAGTATTTTTATTATTTGATTTGAGTCAATGATTTTCTGTTATCGTAAGTTTTTGTT